CCTCCTCCTCCGCCTCCTCCTCCTCCTCCTCCTCCTCCTCCTCCTCTTTCTCCTCCTCCTCCTCCTTATCCTTCTCCTCCTGCTCCTCCATGAAGAAAAGGAAGTAGGAGGAGAAGAACAATAATCAGAGCTCTGGCAGGCGTCCTCGTCGAAACTATCGAGCACGATCTCCCAGAACCACCTGCACTGGTCCGAGCTGGCGTCGTACCTGGGGCTGACCAGCGCCGGGCGGCAGGGCTGGTGCGGAGGGGGGCGGCCAGCTCGCCTCTGCCTCACAGCTGGCCGTTGGCCCGCGTAAGTTCGCGCGTAAACGCCCTCGTCCCTAATGCGGTGTGCCGCGCTGGCGGCCCGCGTAAGCCGCGACGTGAGGTCGCTATGCCCTCTCACGTAAGAACCTCCTCCTCTTGTCGCTCGCATGGGCGCCGAAGCAAAGGGGGCCTCACGCATCAGAGGAGTGGACCACCGCCACCGAGTGACGCTCGGTCACGTGCCCCCGCCCTGGGTTCGGCCCTCCCCCCAGTGGTCCCCTGTGACTCTTCTTCCCTTCTTAGCAGGCGGGGAGGGGTCTAAGATCAGGTCGGGCATGCCCTCGTGCAGGCGGAGTTTGGAAGAAAAATAAAGAGCAGTCCGAAAATAGTCAAATATTGTCAAGAGAGCACACCAAAAAAACGTCCCCTGATAATGTTCTACTATTCGTGAAAATTCCTCCTGTAGAGGGACATGCCCGACTTAAATCTAAGAGAAGGCGGGGGGCTCTTGGATGTCCCCCCGGCTTCTGGCAAGCTCTGATGGAAGCCCGCGGGCCCTTCAGAGAGGGGCCCTGCCTTCCGCAGGCAGCCTGCCACCATCAGGCACGAGGCGAACAGCGAGCGAAGGGTCTTCGATGGCCGCATGGCGTCCTCGGCAACGAACAGGTCCCACGACCTGGATGGGCGGCACGGCCCGCACACCGGAGCCCCTCCTGAGCCCGACGTGGCGCTTTACGTAGAAGGCCTCCTGGATGGGGTCCGAGTGGATGGAGTCGGGGGGTCGCGCCGCATCGCCGATGCATCGGCGACGCTGGCATGGAGAGAATCGGGCACCAGATCGAGCCGCATAGCCGATGCATCGGCGATGCAGCGCGATCCTCCGACCCCATCTAACCCGACCCCAAATAGGAGGCCTAGATCCCATCTCGCCCGTGAGGGGCAACGACAGGGGAGGGGATAGGCACAGGGGCGGGAGCATCGACCTCGAATGGGCAATACATCGCCGAGAGGTCAGCGATAAGCCCCCGAGAGTGAATCCGCACGCTCCTGGGCAGGTTGGGGCTATCGGGCCCACAGCGACGATCTATGGGCGATCGGGGGTCGATGCACCCTAAAACAGGGCTAAGATCGGGATAAATCGCTCCAGAGCGTTCCGAAGCGCTCTCAGAGCGTTCCGGAACGCTCTGGAGCGGCCGCGGCGCCCAATACATCCTCCAAACCCGCCGATGCTCAGAGATTTTGAGTTGTCCCGATCCGATTTTGCCCCGATCTTCGCGTCGTTTGACACCCCCCCTGTGCCTATCCCCCCCTGGCGTGGCCCCCGAACTGATCCCTCGACGAGGCCGGCCTCAATTTGGCGGCTTCTGGAAGCCCTGAACCCATCGGGAGCGGCCAAGAGGGGGGTGCCCAAGAGGGGGGGGGTACAAAAAATGACCGGCGGCATGTGCGCGGCCCAGCCGGGATGCCAGGGACGTAATGAAATAAGAAGAGGCGCCATGAAACCTGGGGAAATATCATGGCCCACGCCATGATATCCACCCCCCCTAGTCATCTCCCCCCTCTTTGCCGCCCCCGAACCCAAGATGCTGTCCTCACTCCTGGGGGCGCAACTTCTGCTTCCGCCGGCCCTCCGCCAGCGAATTTGGACGCCCGACATGGGCACGGAAAGAATGGGCACAATGCCCAACAATAAATGTTGTCCCAAACCAACAGCGGCCACTGTTGAGCAGGCGGCCTTCTGTCTCAAATGGACACAGGCCGCGGCGGCGCGGGCAGCGAGTCCTGTCCAGAATGAACAGGAACTGCTGTTGGGCACTGTACCCGTTCTCTCCGTACCCATGTCGTTCGTGAAGAGCGAAGAGCAGCCCCTGACTCACAAGGGGGTGGAGGGAGGGGGGAGGGCTTCTTGGAAGGAGGCTGTGCTTCTTAGCAGGCGCCGGCCTCACACCCACAGACACGGCCCGCGCCTCCCAAGAAGCAGGGGTGCTTCTGAGCAGCCCTCCCCCTCCCACCCCCCCTCTGCGCGTGGCCGAGCTTTGCAACCTGTTCGCAGCGGGCGCTGCTGCCTCGCTTCGGGCCCCAGGGCGAACTGCCACAGATCGATGCAGCTCGAGACAGGGCGCCGCTCTGCGCGTGGCCGGCCTCCGCTGCCCGCCCGGCGGCGCCCGCCGAGCAGGCGAGGCGCCCGCGCCCTCGACGGCTCCCGGGGCGCGGCCCTCGCGGAGGAGCGCGCCTCGGCCCAACGGCGCCTCCGCCCGAGGAGGGCCAGGCAGGATGGCCCTCGCGAGCGAAGCGCACACAGCCAAGGGCTCCCAGCTTCGCGCTCTCGCGCGGCGCGCGGAGCGCGAGGCGCGAATAGCTTCGCGCTCTCGCGCCGACTCCCAGGGGGAGGAGAGGAAGAGGAGGAGGAGTCCGAGCCGAAGCGCGAAGCGCGAGGCGCGAATGACTTCGCGCCCTCGAGGGCGCCCTTGATACAGGGAGCCGAGCTCTGCAGTCGGCCTGGACTGGGCAGGACACGCGAGAGGGCACAAGACCCTTCCGAGGGCCACATCGCCATATAGGAGTGCAAGGAGGCACGCGTCGCGAGGCACAGGACACAAGGGTGCCCTTGAGCTGGCAGGGTCGACCTACTGGACCGGGCCGACTGTATACGCCGACGCAGTTTCCGGCCCTGCACTGAAGCTTGCAGACAGGACAGCGGGCCCTGGTGTGCACACGGGCTCCTTGTGCACACGTGTTGCGCCGTCTCCCCGGGACAACGGGGAACATGTACACCGCACCATCCCGACGTCGCCCCCGACCCTCAAAAAAAGTCCTGGGATTAAAAAACGGCCCGCCACTTCTGATGTGTGTGCTCCAGCTTCCGACCATCCGTAGCTGCGGACTCGCGGGCCGGGCCGATGGGCCGCGGCCCCGCGGATACGGGGGCGTTTTTTTTTATCGCGGGTGCCCTGCGCAGAGCGTATCCGAGCGACTGCGCATCCGCAGGACCGCGCCCCGTAACCCAGACCGCGAGGGTGAAGGGGCCCCAGGACACACAAATAAATACACACAAATAAAAATAGTCCCCATGTTTTCCTATATTTTCTGGGTTTTTGTCTTCCCCCCACTTCCCATATTTTCCCATATTATCTGGGGAATCGAAGATTAATCGTGTCTGTGTTTTTTCCCTTCGTGAGAGGGCTTGGACATGGATACGCTCCCCGCTCGTGAGGCTCGCCGACTCCGAGCAGGGCAAGTGCGTCGCAGGCGTGCCTCGCAAACGCCGAATCGCAGCGGACGGCCCAGGTGCCCCCGAGGTCCTCTGCAGACTGTGGGCGCATCACTCTCTGGACTGTTCCCCGGCACGCCCGCCTGCAAAGGGTCTGGAAGGGACACGTCCCGAGTTGGACTCGACAGCCCCGTGGCTGGACGGTCTCATGCCATGGCTCCCCGACCCCCTCTGGCCTCGCTGCTCTGCTGCTCAAGAAGCTAAGCCCACACGCCGTGAGCCCAGATGGAGGCCGAACACTCCGTGCGGACTTGCTCCGCGAGGACTCGGCATCCTATCAGGAGAGGACCAGTCCAGACGCTACGCCCAGACGGAGACCGAGCACGCCGTACGGGCTTTCTCCGCTGGGACTGAACATCCTCAGATGATGCGTGCGTCGCACATAGACAATCGCGCTCCACTACTCGCAAAGCAACTATTCGCACATGGGAGTATTCGGCGTCTCGACATTGGGCGAAAGGGGTGGGGGGAGAGGGGGGGGGTATGGCTCCGGACCTCTGCTTAGTGCGACTGTTTGCAGCAGTGCGTCCCATGGGGGTGACTCCACCTGCGTGGAACAGGCGCCAAAAGCAGCCAAGATCTACTCCATGGGGGGGGAGGGGGGGGGTGCGAGTGCCCGCGCCGATCGGCAAAACAAGGAATCAGAAAACGACGACGTCAGCCTGGATCCGCAGCGGGGAATCGACGAGAAGTCACAGGAAGTCGAACACGTGTGCTTCGAGCAGGCACTGTGCGAGCAGTGGAGCGCCCGGTGAGCACGAGTGGCTCGGGATGCCGAGCAGCGCTGGCTCGGGAGCGTCTGCTGCTGCTGTGAACTGCCCCTTGCCGTCGCTCGGACGTCCATTTCCAGTGCATTTTTCGGATTCGTGCGTTTTTTTGTTGCTCGATGGTCCAGGATGGTTCTCGATGGTTCTCGCCGAGAAAAAACACACACGTCCGAGCGATGCCAGGGCCCGTGGGGGCGCAGGTGCCCGGCGAGGCGGCCCGCAGCCCTCCCCTTTGGCCCGCACGCCGGGCGCGGCGCGCCCGTCGGTGTAGTCTGGAGGCCGCTTTTGCTCGGGGAGGCCGGGCAAGGGCGGGGTTCGAAACTCCTTCCCCTCCTCCTCCTCCTCCTCCTCCTCCTCCTCCTCCTCCTCCTCCTCCTCCGGCTCCTCCTCCGGTTCCTCCTCCTCCGGTTCCTCCTCCTCTTCCTCCTCCTCCTCCTCCTTCTCCTCCTCGTCGAACGCGCGGCGAAATCCGAACTCCACCTCCGCCTCCATCGACTCAGGAGAACCGATGGCTGGCGGGGGGAGGTCGGGAGGGGAAGAGAAGACACACGGACACGATGAATCGTCGACTCCCACGGGGGGCCAAGCCGACCCTGAAACTCGGGCGTTCTGGCGGCGCGCAGGGGGGGTAGGGGGAGGGGGGAAGGCTTCTTAGAAGGGGGCTGCTTCTTTGAAGGCGCCAGCCTTACGTATATAGAGAGGGCCCGCGCCTTCCAAGAAGCAGGGGTGTTTCCAAAAAAACCTTCCCCCCTCCCCCCACCCCCCCTCTGCGCGTGGCCGAACTTTGCAACTTGTTCGCAGCGGGCGGTGTTGCCGCTGGCGCCGCAGCTCGTCAACCGCTGAAACGCCACCAGCTGATGGGTGGGACGCAGGCTCTCGGAGCCGATTCTGACCAGAACACGCCCCCCCCTGGGGGTCTCGGCCCCTT